TTATCTCAATAACAGGTATGGGAATCTCAAAGGTGTTCTGGAGACCTTGAGAAGGGAGGAACTTACTTAGATCTGTTAGGCAAAATCTGTGATAAGCCTTTGGCAAAGCATCTACCAACGTGGGAGACCCGGGTTCAAACCCTGGGTTGAGGAGATCTCCCGGAGAAGAAAATGGCACCCCACTCCAGTATTCTGGCCTGGAAAATCCCATGGATGGACGAACCTCGTAGGCTACAGTCCATGGGGTCACAGAGAGGAGGACACGACTGAGCAACTTCTTTTTTCTTCTTCCTAGCCCTGAAAGGTTTTATTTTAAAAGTTCAGTCTGAGACTCTATAAAAGTCTCAGCAAAGCAAAAAAGTCTATGATCAATTATGGTTATGTAAGTCCTCAGGCCAAGTTTATCGAGACCAGCCCTTTATTACAAACAGGTCTTAATTTGGTTATATTTGGTAAAAATGATGGTGATTTTAGGGAGAAGTAGATGTTCCAATGAATGTTAAATCTTAGCTTGTTAATGGAGGTCTGTATCTGCTAAGACTCACTTCCTGGATAGTTCTTTGCTGTTAGGGTATATTAATGTAAAATTTAATTGAATTACTAAAGGACACTCTAGGGTAGTTTCTGAAGCTTATCTCAGTAATCTGTTTTTGGATGAAGATCAGATGCCTCACGCATGACCTGCAACCAAGACTGGAAGAAGATATAGTTTAAGGAACTCTCTCCAACCTGGATGAAAGAACCTTTCTATCAGGTACTCTAAACTAACTCATGCCCAGTGAAACCAAAGGGAAATTGACTCTTGGGTTAACTCCCACTTCCAAAGGCCCCTAAGCTGGACTGGTCTGCTGACCAGAGACGCCTGCTGACCTCAAACTCACCTTAAAACAATGCTCAAACAGAGGAAATTACACTCCACTAGGACGAGAAGAAGAGGACATCAGAAGTAGACAGCTTGCCCAAGATGCTTATCTGACTTGTATGATCATTTATAACGTCTTCTTGATTCCTTGGACCTATGCCTATCAATCAAACACTTTCTATCACGGACATGAGTCAATGCTAGTTTAAAACTCAATCCAATTGTTGGGTTGTGGCCAATTACCTGTGTCTAGTACTTCTGGGTTACCTTGATGGATTTCTGCTCTCTAGGGCTCTGATTGGATACCCGCTAGGAAATTTATTTTAGATGAATGTTCAGTCCTGTTTTGTCTATTCATGATATTACTAGATGGGATCCTCTCACCTGGTCAATTAATAATATCTGTTATGATGCTGGCCATACACTTAAGTTTTCTCTAATGGTCACTCAAACTCAGTTGGAGTGACAAGCTCAGTCTCTATAAAAAATTAACCTCTCATCTATTAAAAGGAAAACTCTCACAGTTATGGGGTCGATCTACATGGTTAATACCAGATTATGGTCATTTTAGTTTAAAAGCTCCTCTATGTTGGGAAGGCTTAAATCATACTAAAAATAACCAACCTGGTAATTATGAGACAAGACTGGGTGTTTTATGAACTATGTCTATTATTACTATTAGAGAGAGTGATTGGTATGGAACTCAGAGGGTTTGTGGCACTAATTTATGGCCATCACATCTACAGGGATCGATACGAAGGTGTAGCCTGGGATTCCCATGAATTTAAGGTCATACACGTTAACAAATTAGAGGTAACCCCAACCAATCTACCATTGGTATGATCCCATTGGGTCAAGGATCTGTATTCTACTGGTATGACCATTTAGGGGTGTGTGTGTGTGTGTGTGTGTGTGTGTGTGTGTGTGTGTAAGACCATTTAGGGGTGTGTGTGTGTGTGTGTGTGTGTGTGCGCGCGCAATTGTGCACACGTGCCTTCAATGAGGTTAAAGGATGTAATTGGCCATATCTAAGCCTTAACACGGAGAAGGCAACGGCATCCCACTCCAGTACTCTTGCCTGGAAAATCACATGGACAGAGGAGCCTGGTGGGCTGCAGTCCATGGGATCACAAAGAGTCAGACATGACTGAGCGACTTCACTTCCACTTTTCACTTTTATGAATTGGAGAAGTAAATGGCAACCCACTCCAGTGTTCTTGCCTGGAGAATCCCAGGGACGGGGTCGCACAGAGTCGGACACGACTGAAGTGACTTAGCAGTAGCAAGCCTTAACAACTTTCATAAGCTTTAAATGATAGTAATCGGGCTATTAGTCTACTGAATTCTGAGCTCTCTATGATGAAAAAGGCAGTGCTACACAAACACATGGCCCTTGACATCCTTACAACATTTCAGGGAGGCCCCTATGCCATAATTCAAACTGAATGCTACGTTTTTATACCTGATGAATTCTCTAATATAACACATTTGGTGAACCATATGAAAAGTCAGGTTTCTGCTTTAAGTGACCCATTCCCTAGTCTTGATGATCTTTTTAAAAAAAAAAACTGGTTTGCTGTGGGAGGCTCATGGCTAAACTATTTACTTTTAATTCCACTAATGTTATTAACTATACCATTTGCATTTTGCTTGTTTCACAGGATTATTATTTCTTGTATTACCAGGTATATGACTGAGCCTCCAATGAAATTGATGACTAGACTTGAAGCAGTTGATCAAACGTATAGCTCGATATACAATCAATGATAGTAATAGTGTAACTCTAGGTATTTTCATGCAATGAGAGGGAATACCTTCCTGGGCCATAACTAGAAGACAGGTGTCCCGACATCTTTGTCTATTAAGACCTGGTCCAGTAATAGCACACTGGTTTTGGCTTATCAGCAAAAACCTTCTTCAGAACTGGGAACGAGCCTTCCCACCAAGGCAGGACAAAATGGTTATGAAATGCACCCCCCCCCCCCAAATGTAGCCAGATTTATGACCACAAGGGAGAAGTGTCAATTACAAATTGGCACTTACCAAGATCACTGCCATCTGCCTGCAGGGAAATTGAACACCAGGCTGCTATAGCTATTGACCTTGAACAACCCGTGAGGGAGTTCAGGGTGGAGTGAGGCACTCTGTGCTCCAGAGAATCTGGTGGGACAGGTCTTTAGATAGTTGGATGTTTTTAGGAACAGATTTTATGATCGCAATCTTTGCATCTCCTCATACTAGAGAAAGCACTAAATCCCTTCATGGTGACATCAGATCATCATGACTAACAAACACCTTTTGTAAAACGAGTGCTTCATGGCATTGAACTCCCCCTTCACCGAAACCTTATACACTGACTTCCCCCCACTACCGCTTTGGAGCATCTCTCAGAGCTATCTGAGATGCTGCCTCCTGGGCTACTTTCTTCATTTTGCCCCAAATAAAACTTCACTCGCAACTCTCAAGTTGTACATCTTTTTTTTAGTTGACAGTGCTCACTGACTTAGGTCAAATGACCGTTGAATAAATTAGCTGCTTGGGTAGAATGGAAGATGTTTATCTCTTCTGTTTGGAAAACTTGTTGTTCAGTTGCTCAGTCAAGTCTGACTCTTTGCAACCCATGGACTGCAGAACACCAGGCACCCCTGTCCTTCATCATCTCCTGGACTTTGCTCAAGTTGGAAAGTTTGGAAAACGTAAATGTCCCCAAATCACCCAGGTGACGTGTACAGTAACATGAACAACTGTGGGCGGCAGCCTCGCTGTGAGGTTTCCTCTCTTCATGAACGAAATTACTGGCCAGGTTTAAGTGCTGCAAGTCATCGCTCGGCTCCCTGTTTTGGTTTGGACTTATGGCAAACTTGGACTTCCCTGGCGGCTCAGAAGTAAGGAATCTGCCCGCAATGCAGGAGACCTGGGTTCAGCCCCTGGGTCGGGAAGATCCCCTGGAGACGGGAATGGCTACCCACTGCAGTATTCTTGCCTGGAGAATTTCATGGACAGAGGAGCCTGGCGGGCTACAGTCCATGGGGTCACCAAGAGTCGGATGTGACTGGGAACACACTGATGAGTCTGTTAGCGAGCTTGCTTACTGGGATTCTCTAGGACTGTCAGGTACAGAGCACTCAGAAAGACTTCGTGGAGCACTGACTGCCCATTTCCAGTGTCTACTTAAAACTTAAAAGCAGATTGGGATGCAGCTGCCCAGGGGCTCAAAAGAGTCTCAGAGACATCCGCACTGACGTCTTCTACTGCTCTGTGAAGTGGGTGTCCTAAGGTGGGACCCATAACCAGAGAGGTCAAGTAACCTGCCCACGTTCCCAAAGCAGTTGAGCTCAGGTCTCTGACGTGCAGAGAACACCCCTTTTAACTGGGCAGCCTTTAGAAGTCTGAATACAAATTTTCAAATTTTAAGTTTTCGAGCAGTCATTTGGTTTAGCTATGCAAAAGTGTGGAAGTGTTAGTCGCTTAGTTGTGTCCGACCCTTTGCGACCCTATGGACTGTAGCTCACCAGGCTCCTCTGTCCATGTGGATTCTCCAGGCAATACTGGAGTAGGTTGCCATTCCCTTCTCCAGGGGATCTTCCCCATTCAAGAATCGAACCCAGCTCTCCTGCAATGCAGGCAGATTCTTTACCAGATGAGCCCCCAGGGAAGCCCTTAAGCTGTGCAAAAGTCAAAACCTAGGACCTGGAGAGAGTCCCAACTTGTTACAGACCTGAAGAGTACAGACACAGCCATTGAGCCTTCTTCACAAAAACCAAACATCTGGAAGTCAGCTTAAAGACCTTAGGTGTGTTTACTGCTTATTTCTTGGAAGGCTGCTTCCACAGTGCTGGGGGCACCTGCCTATACTGTAGTGAGAAAGTGCCTGAATGTGACCCATTCAGTAGTTGTAGGAAACCAGTCCCCCAAGGTGCAAGTGATCATCTGATTGGGAGAGACAATCCTCCACCCTCAACAAAGAGTCCACGACGGACTAGAAAAGTAGGAAAAGGGAGCTGTGGGAGAGAGAGCAGAGCGCAAGGAGAGGCGCCAGGCGGGCGGCGCGAAGAAGGGGGCGCATCAACCCGGGGCGGCGGGGAGAAGGGGGCGCACCAGGGGCGGCTGGGGGAAGCGCGGAGCCGCCCGCTCTTACCGTTGGGCATAGTGGACCAGGAACATGGCCAGGAGGATGCAGTTGGGCCAGCGGTTGAGGCGCTCGGCCGGCGCGCCCGCGCCCGCGCAGGCGAGGAGCGGCAGGGCCAGCGAGGGCAGCTCCTGCATCACCCAGGCGGCCCGCGCTGGCAGCCCGAAGGCGGAGCCGGGCGACGAGTAGCGCCCGTAGGGCGAGCCCCGCAGCTTCAGCAGCATATAGCACACGACGCCCAGGGCGCATTCCAGGTAGGCAAGCGCGTCCAGCAGGAACCGTTCGGCCAGCTCCATGGTGGGGGACTGCAGGCGTGCTCCATGGCCCGGCGGCTGCGTCGGGCCACATATAGGGCGGCGGCGGCTGCGGGCGGGGTGTTGTGGGGGGCGGGAGGCGCGGTTACCTGAGGCCGGCGCCCGCTGTCAAAGCCCTGGGCCCGGATCCGCCCCGTGCGGGCGGCCCCGGAGCCACGCGCCACCCGTCTCTTTAGTCCTGGGTGCGCGCCCCTAACTCAGTTTTATTGGTATTTTTAAGAGTCTCATGCTCTACCGACTGAGCTAGTCGGGCTGCTTTATTGGTATTTTTAAAAACCCTTTGGATTCTGGTGATAAAATATAGGATATGTATAACTCAAAAAAAAAAAAAAAAAACAANGAGGACGGCGGAAAGCGCAATGGGGAGGGCTGGGAAGGCGGCTACCCCGAGATCGTCAAGGAGAACAAGCTGTTCGAGCACTACTACCAGGAGCTCAAGATCGTGCCCGAGGGCGAGTGGGACCAGTTCATGGGAGCGCTCAGGGAGCCTCTCCCGGCCACTTTAAGAATTACCGGTTACAAGAGGTAAGGGGGTCGTGCCTTTCACGTTTCTCTGAAAGTTGGGGTTTAGGATGCCCCGGGTTTAAAACGCAGATGTATTTCTCCCAAGAAGCACACGTCAGCGGTGTGGATGCGAGAGCCCCGAGGCCTTGAGAGGAGGGAGCACGGGTGTCCCAACGGAGTACGGGGAGGAGGACCTGGCAAGTTGGGAGGTTAGAATCAGAAACGAGCGTGCAAGCTGAGAAGCAGTTGACTCTTTGGGGGCCCGTTGACGATGCTCCACCCTTTGGAACACATGAGAACCTGTGACATTAGTGAGTTTTAAGTGAAGCTTATGGTGTTCTATCTCTTAATTTTTTTTTTCTTTGAGTTGTGTAACTGAGCACGTGGGCTTATTGCTAGCTGCACAATGGAAAGACCAAATACCGAGGCAGCAGTCTTGCAGAAAGCGAAAAGGCTTTATACTGCAGGATAGTCAAGCAAGGAGACAGGAGGCAGTGCTCAGCTCTTCCCCATCAGCTGTTGAGCATGATATTTATCCTCGGAAGTAGGGAGTAAGTGGAGGAGGGGGCACTGGAATGATGGGTGAAAATTAAAGGTAAATTTCAAGCATCCCCTGCAGGTGCAGCTGTGCTTCATACCTTTTTATGTGCAATTTTGGGGTGGGAAGTCTGTTACATGTTGTGGATTTTCCACTTTGTGATGTCTAAAGTTTGCTGTGGGTTATTTAAATTATTCAAAAAGTTTATTATGAATATTTTGCCCTCGGCCCATGGCCTGTGGGATTTTAGTTCCCAGACCAGGGATCAAACCTGCACTCCCTGCATTGGAAAAAATAAGAGTCTTAACCACTGGACTGCCAGGGAACGTCCCTACTGTGGGTGTATTGGTCCTTTAATGTGCCTCTGCTGGGCAAAATGGCCTTTAGGACTGTTGTGTTCATATCCTGTTTCCCTGGTCGTCTTCGAAACAAGCTCAGAGATGTCATTTAATCAAGTTGTTTCTTCCTTATGAACCTTTAGTGTGTAAGTTTAAGGATATGGTTGCAGTTGTACCTTTTGCAGATGATCTGCAAGTGAAAATGGAACTTGAGGAATGTTTAGGAGAGGAGTAGAATAGTATTGTATTTAGTTTTTCACCTTTTAGAGATTAAAGGACAAGGATTGTTCAAACTTCAAAAGAATACAGTAAAATGGTAGTAATTAAAGAATGTCTTCACTGCACACAAGGATGGCTTTTGTTACAAAACTCAATCTTAGGTTTATAAAGAGATAAAATGTATTGAATTAGCTTTCCAGATTGATTTGAAACTTCTAAAAAATTTTTTTGATAGCCATGCAAAAGAGATTCTCCATTGCTTAAAGAACAAGTATTTCAAGGAACTGGAGGACCTGGAAGTGGATGGGCAGAAAGTTGAAGTTCCACAGCCCCTGAGTTGGTAGGTATAACGGCTTCATCCTGTTGGATGTATCTCTGGCTTCTTATCTTTGTCACTTGAATTTATTTCTTGGTAACCTGTTTGATATTGTCATGAAAGAACCTAAATATATTTGTGAGACATTTTCCTATTCTTATTCCCAGTGCTTTTTTCGCTGTTACTTCACACCCGTGTGCAAATTTTCCTTTGTGATTTGCACCACTGTGTATTGAAGTCTTGATTTCCATCAATTTTTCCAAGTCAGTACAGCTGCTTTTCTTCCTTGTTGTTACCATTTCCACCATTTCTACTTAAACCCCTTGTCTTCATGTCAGAACTGTTGCAGACTTAATGTTTTGTTGCAGGGCCCAGCATAAGACCAGGTAGGAGTCAGAGTCTGGGAGACATATGGAGTGTAGCCAGCATTTCATTTTGCTGATTGCTTGGTTTATTGCATATGAACACACTACACAACAGAAGTTAGTCACGCAGAGAAGGAAAGGAAAGGGGGTGATGGAGGAGGTGTCTCGGCATGAGTGTTGGTCCCCTGCCTGCAGTTGGGCCTCGGGACAGGTGTGAGCTGGAAGTCCCCACCTGCTCTGACAGCGCCTCCAGTGGCATCTGTCTATCTGAAACAGTTCCTTCATCTTGCAGCATCAGGTCCTTTGACAAAGAACCTTCAAGCCCCTGTCTCGGTGTTTTAAAGCGTCCGTCAGTGGGTGTCTTAACAGTGATAATCTGAGACCACCTCTTTATCAGTCACCCCTTCTGCTTCCACTGTGTCTTTCTAGATGTTACCAAACAGCGGATGTTTCCAAACAGTCCTCATGCAGGTTCACATTGGCTACTGTGACTCCATTTCAGACTCCTCGACATCACCCAAAGTCACACAAGATGAGTGGGATTCCCGTGACTATAAATCACATCACAGCTCCTCTCCTGGCAAAGTCTCAGCAGGGGCTTCGTCAGCTGTCCTGTCTGTCTCTGTCTCCAGGGCCCATGCTCACCCTCCTTTTATCCTCGCTGTCCTGTTGGTGTCTCATGGCTCATTTGTGTGTCTTGATCCAGTTCAGGAGTGTGAAAGCGGTCCCGTCTGTCTCATGAATGGCCCAGAGAGTCAGGCACAAACCATGGTGGTGCCAAGGCCGGGGCCATTAGTTCAACCTCAGCTCAGTTGCTCAGTCATGTCTGGCTCTTTGCGACCCCATAGACTGTAGCACGCCAGGCTTCCCTGTCCATCACCATCTCCTGGAGTTTACTCAAGCTCATGTCCATCAAGTCAGTGATGCCATCCAACCATTTCATCCTCTGTCGTCCCCTTCTCCTCCTGCCTTCAATCGTTCCCAGCATCAGGGTCTTTTCCAGTGAGTCAGCTCTTTGCATCAGGTGGCCAAAGGATTGGTGTTTCAGCTTCAACATCAGTTCTTCCCAATGAACATTCAGGACTGATTTCTTTTAGGATGGACTGGTTGGATCTGCTTGCAGTCCAAGGGACTCCGAAGAGTCTCAAGGCTTGGGCTATGGAAGTCATGAAGTGGTTAATAGTTACGCATTGCAGAGTATCAACTTTAAGGTTCTGAGAATTCTCACAAAAGGTCACCACCACATTTTAAATGATTACTATAAAAATGTGAATTGAACCAGCATTGCCTGGCAGTTTGTTGTTCAGTCGCATCTGACTCTTTGTGACCCCATGAACTATGTCACACCAGGCTTCCCTGTTCTTCGAGGTCTCCTGGAATTTGCTCAGATTCTTGTCCGTTGAGTTAGTGATGCTATTTGAAAGCGTTGGTTCTTTGGACCCCAGCCTTCTTTATAGTCCAACTCTCAGATCCATACTGACTACTGGAAAAACTATAGCTTTGACTAGATGGACCTTTGTTGGCAAAGTGATGTCTCTGTTTTTTAATACACTGTCTAGGTTTTTCATAGCTTTTCTTTCAAGGAGCAAGTGTCTTTGAATTTCATGGTTGCAGTCACTGTCTGCACTGATTTTGGAGCCCAGGAAAATAAAATCTGTCACTGTTTCCAATTTCCCCTTCTGTTCGCCGTGGAGTGATGGGACTGGATGTCATGATCTTTGTTTTGAATGTTGCGTTTTAAGCCAGCTTTTTCACTCTCCTTTCACCCTCATCAAGGTGCTCTAGTTCCTCTTCACTTTCTGCTAAAAAAATGAATTTAACCACCGTTTCCCGAAAGCTTTTGAAGTTTTGACTGTTCAAGTGTTTGATGTATCTTTTCTTTTTGGCTAACCTTTGTTCATCACAAGCCAAAATGAGGTTCTCATTGTTGCTGGTCTGTGCGTTTGCTTGCTTTTCATTCTTTTGTTGGCTGTTTGCATGTTCAGTGTCCGTATCACAGATGTGCACAGCATCCACAGTGGAATGAGTACTGAGTGGCCAGATGCTTAAATCAGATCAAAACCAAGTATCACCACTGTAGAGCGCGTTTCTGGGATACAGGAATGAGTCTGCAGTGTTACACCCAAAATTCCATGATGGCTCTTCTGTTAAACAGTCTTAATCAGAGTTTAGAAGCTTGACTGTTAGAGAACAGGAAAAGGACTCTGATGCCAGGTGCTGAGGCCAGCGGATAAGGAAGGTGTCCCCCCCGCTGTGTCTGCAGCATCGCCAAGCGTGGCGACTGTCCCTCTCAGTCACTGGGGTGTACACTGAGCTCTTGGCCCGCGCCATGGTTTGGAGGTTTGATGGATGGCCCTGGTGCTTGAAGTTGGGGTCGTCTGATGTTTTCATAAGCAGGTTTAAGGTTGTCTTTGCACATTTCTATGCATAATAATCTTCCCTGCGTTTGCTGCCTCACACAGTCACCTGGAAACATTTATTCCTTCCACCCTGTGTCCAGAAGTGCAGTTTCTCAGATGCGGCCGCCTCTGCGCAGAGAGAGGAGCTGGAGAGCCGGCCCCTGGGGAAAGGGTGTCTCTCTGGGCTTCCTGCTGTTTTTCCCACAGTCCCGACCTTCGACCTTCGTGGAGTTAGGCTCGCTGTTTTTGTTGCTCTCTGCAGACTGCAGTTGGACTGTGGTTTAACTGGCCCATTCAGTGTTAATGGCTGTTTTTCATTCTTGATTGTTGAACTTTGGATCTGGGGGCAGGACCAGTCAGTTCCAGATCTCTTGGAACGGCCCTGCAGGTAAGGCCCTGTGGGTGAAGAATGCAAGGAGTCACCCCACTAACAGCTGGGCCTTCTCTTTGCGTACTGTTTGATCCAATTTTCTGAACACAGCTGAAGGGTCTGAGCAACATGTTGTAAGATACAAGTTCCTAATACTCACCCTTTTTTCATTATCAGTGACAACTGTGAGACAGTTTTATTCTATAAACGTTAAATCAAATTGACTGGTCAGGTGTGGGATACCCATAAATCAGTAAATAAAACAGAAACTTCAAATACTTTCTGGTGGTTCTTTATATTGTGGAAATTGCAGAAATAGATCTTAATATTGTTTTAACCTTTTGAGACATAGTGGGATGTAGTATAGGAGAAATATTTTGGGGGACCAGGTTTTCTAGAAGGAATGTTATATATAGGACTTGGGGCAGATTTCATTTTTTTTTTCTTACCTTTCATAAACTTGGAATTGTGAGGGGTTAAAACATTTTTTAGAAAGCCTTGTTTTGACAATCATTTGTTGCAAATGCACCTTCTTATTCTGTTTATGTTCTTTTTAATTGTCTGAGTTGATGGTTTATCCTAGATGTTGTATACAGAGAGAGTTTTCAACTCAGTCTTTGTATTTGTTTGAAAGTTCTTAAGTAATATCCTTATAAGATGAAGAGCTTTCATAATTATAACTTAGAGTCAAATTTTATTCTTGTAATAGTAAATTTACATTTTTAGCTGCTAGAAACTTAACCAATAAAGTGCATAAAGAAATATTCCCTCAAGTTATACCTAGAGTCTGCTGTCTATTAGAAAATGAAAATTCAGCCTTGTACAATAAATATTGGCAGGCAGCATTCAAATTAGTGTGGTGTTTGGTGGTTTGATAAGGTAGTTATTGGCATGTGTGCTGTCGTTGATCACAGACAACTCCGTTTGCCAGGAATCTTAAGCAAGCAGATGTTTGGCTATCACCAAAGGCCCGTATTCTTGCCTGGGAAGTCCTGTGGACAGAGGAGCCCGCGGGCTGCAGTCCATGCGGCCACAGAGAGTTGGACGTGATTGAGCGCAAGCACATAAATACACACCGGCTGCTGAGGGGCAGCAGGTTCCGCTCAGTTCAGCTGGAGCCAACCCAGAGGAATCCCTGCTGTTCACCTCTAGTGAGGCCACAGGGAGTAGTTAAAGCTAAACGCCTTTTAAAATTGCCTAGTGAGTATGATTGCATTTGGTTTTGTATTTTTGAAACAGGTTAAATATTCAAGAGGGAAGCAAGCATAAGAAATAGAAACAAAGTTCCAGGACACTTGGAAGGTGGCCATGAATAGGTTCAGCCAGTTTAACCTTCATAATTTGGTGGAAAGCACTCATCAGATATAGCTCATGATAAAATGACCGTTGAGCAGTTTCTTCAAGTCTTAAGTCTCAGTTTGTCTCTGTCAGATAGTCACTCAGATTTTCAAAGCAAACGTGGTGTTTTTCAAACATGCCATCCCACTTTCATGGCTGTCACCTTAGCTGCAGTTTGATGCATGGCAACTTTGTGACTCTGCGTTGTTAAATGGAGCTCATCCTTGCACCTCAGACTGAACGCTGCGCGCAGTAAGGCTTGTCACCGAGTGCCACATGACGCCGAGCATGGCCTGTCCTGTCCGTGTGCTGACCCGTGCTCCTGGAGTCCAGCGGGTGGACAGGCGCACAGGACGGTGATGAAGCCGCCCACCTCCTCATCTGTGACGGCCTCGTTACACACCGTTCAGGTGTGTTTACAGAGACGGCAGGACATGCTTTGTTCTTCGGTCTGTGTAAACATCAGCCTGGGACCTCAGATTAATACGTTTTTGATTTCCAAGGTTTGGGGGTATATAGAATATTTCACAATATTATTGGACTGCTTGGTTTGAGAAATAGTGAAAAATACAGCAGAAAAAACCCCTGTAATCAAATGTTGGACTTTCTGATAGCTGCCCTCCGGCATTGTTTTCTGCCGTGTGAACCGCACTGTAGTTTGTCAGCATACGCCTTCTCTAGGGCTCTGTGCCCTTACGACGGTGGAGAGTGGGGGCATTGGGGTCTCCCCGCTTCCCCTGCCCTCGGCCGTTCACTGGCGCAGCTCCTCAGTCACATTCAGCGCTGTGCCCCTCAGCACCCGGGGCTGTTTGGGTCCAGTCTCAGCGAGCTTCGTGTCCTGCGCTCATCCTTGGAGGACGGGGCAGGGGTGTGAGCGGCCACAACATGGCCGGGCGTCTCATTTGGCCCATGACCTGGATAATCAAGACGCTGTGAAGAGCCCCCTTCAATATGTGTAACCCATGCATGTTTTCCTTTCCTTTCGGGCAGGTATCCTGAAGAACTTGCCTGGCACACAAATTTAAGTCGAAAAATCTTGAGAAAGTCTCCACAGCTGGAAAAGTTTCACCAGTTTCTGGTCAGCGAGACGGAATCTGTGAGTAGATGACTTNGGTATCCTGAAGAACTTGCCTGGCACACAAATTTAAGTCGAAAAATCTTGAGAAAGTCTCCACAGCTGGAAAAGTTTCACCAGTTTCTGGTCAGCGAGACGGAATCTGTGAGTAGATGACTTCAGGCTTGCTGGTCTCCTTAAAGCCTGAGTATCGCAGTTTTATCTCAGCCATGCCTGCCAGTGGCAGTGATTGGGTAGATAAGGCACGCAGAAAAGCACCCTGAACTCACTGTGAGCGCCCCGTAACATCTGGTAATGTAGGTTGAATTAGTAGCTCCTCTGATCATGCAGAGTCCCGGGGCCGCCGGCACGGTTGTCAGCGTGCCTTCTGGTGTCGGGTGGCTGCAGCCACGGCCGGGTGCAGCGCTGTGCCCCCCGCACCCCACTTTGGAGCACGTTCCGTCTGCTGTCGTGTCCTTTTCGGGTGCACATGCCAGGTGCCTTTCTTGCAGAGAAGGTGATGGGTTTTTATGGCCATCTTTATTTTATTACAAGTGCTATACTCCACCTTTGCCACACAGAAGAACAGCCTCTCAATGTGACAGGTTTGGTTCTCGTAAAATGACATGGTCTTTGCCCCCTGGTTCCTCAGCCACCCCGATTGCCGTTCAGTCACTAAGCTTCTTACCTTTAGCACCACATCTTCCCCAGCAAAAGTGCCGCCCCCGCACGCAGTGCATGACTGAGTGAGTGCCCGGGAACCAAGGGCACTGTCAGCTTTGCGGTTTCCTTTCAGTTCTGGATTCTTCGGTCTCACATTTAAAATTGGAAGCTCCCCCTTCCTATTTTCTAATCTCCTTTTCCTAGCCCAGGAAACCTGAGTGTCACCAGATGGTTTTTATTTCCTTGTTGCTCTGAGCGTCTCTGTCCACCTGACAGGATTATTTGCTCCCCACGATTCTTGCCTTGAAGCCACGGCCAGTTTAGAAACCCTTCACCTCCCTCAGTTCCATTCTCTCCTCCGTCCACAGCTGTGTGCTCTCAGGCTTCCTGTCCCTTCGGTACCTGGTGGCAGGCTCCTGTTGGCCTGGGTTCCAACTCCCGCCATGTTGAGGAGTACATGGTGCTGGGCACCGCCTGTGCCCCCTTCTTTGCTCAGACTTGTGCAAAAAGGGCTTCTCTGGCTTGGCATTTAATCTCTGGGGGTTGTGTGAACTGTCGGCAAAAGTGTAGGCATAATCTCCGTGGGGCGTGTGAACCGTCAGAGAAAGTGCAGGTTTGCACTTGGGCCGAGCGTCCTCCTGCATCTGTGTGAGTTGAATGACGAGTGCAGGTGGCTGTTCACACAGGAAGCCCAGGTCCTGAAGGAGCAGAAGCCTCCTGGGAGCTGACAGTTTGGGGCTTTTTCTTGGGCGTTCAGTCCCAAGCTGCTAATTAAGAGCTGTGCGTCTCACAAGTGCTGGATTTTTCACAGAATCTTTGAACAGCCGAACATTCGAATAGATGTCCTGGCCCACGGGTGAAGGTGGCGAGGATGGCTGGCTAGTGTGGAGGTGTAGTTGTTGTCTGCCTTCTGCTGAGGCAGGGAGGCAGTGGTTGATGGGGCGCTGTCCAGGAGTACGGAGCAGGTGTGGGCTGCCCCTGGAGACAGGAGCACCAGAAAGAGAAGCTGCAGTCTCGCCTGTGAGGGGCGCTTCTGGGGGCTTTCTGTCCTGTGTGCGTGTCGTACTTGAGTTTCTAGCAATCTAATGTCATTCTGACACTGATGCCAAAGGCAAGCCAGAGAATGCTCAAACTACCTGACAACTGCACTCATTTCATGCTAGTTCAGTAATGCTCGAAATTCTCCAAGCCAGGCTTCAGCAGTACGTGAACTGAGAACTTCCAGATGTTCAAGCTGGTTTTAGAAAAGGCAGAGGAACCAGAGATCAGATTGCCAACATCTGTTGGATCATCATAAAAGCAAGAGTCCCAGAAAAACATCTGTTTCTGCTTTATTGACTGTGCCAAAGCCTTTGACTGTGTGGATCACAACAAACTGTGGAGAATTCTTCAAGAGATGGGAATACCAGACCATCTGACTTGCGTCTTAAGAAATCTGTATGCACGTCAGGAAGCAACAGTTAGAACTAGACATGGAACAACAGACTGGTTTCAAATAGGAAAGGGAGTACGTCAAGGCTGTATACTGTCACCTTGCCTATTTAACTTATATGCAGTGTACATCATGAGAAACGCTGGGCTGGAGGAAGCACAAGCTAGAATCAAGGTTGCTGGGAGATATCAATAACCTCAAATATATCAATAACCTCAGATATGCAGATGACACCGCCCTTACGGCAAAAAGTGAAGAACTAAAGAGCCTCTTGATGAAAGTGAAAGAGTGAAAAAGTTGCCTTAAATCTCAACATTCAGAAAACTAAGATTATGGCATCACTTCATGGCAAATAGTTGGGGAAACAGTGGAAACAGTGGCAGATTTTATTTTTGGAAGCTCAAAAGTCACTGTAGATGGTGACTGCACCCATGAAATTAAAAGACTCTTACTCCTTGGAAGAAAAGTTATAAGCAGGCTAGATAACATGTTAAAAAGCAGAGACATTACTTTGCCAACAAAGGTCCGTCTAGTCAAGGCTATGGTTTTTCCAGTAGTCATGTATGGATGTGAGAGTTGGACCATAAAGAAAGCTGAGTGCTGAAGAATTGATGCTTTTGAACTGTGGTGTTGGAGAAGACACTTGAGAGTCCCTTGGACTGCAAGGAGATCCAACCAGTCCATCCTAAAGGAGATCAGTCCTGAACATTCATCGGAAGGACTGATGCTGAAGCCAAAACTCCAATACTTTGGCTACCTGATGTGAAGAGCTGACTCACTGGAAAAGACATGATGCTGGGAAAGATTGAAGGCAGGAGGAGAAGGGGACGACAGAGGATGAGATGGTTGGATGGCATCATGACTCGATGGACAGGAGTTTGGGTAAACTCTGGGAGTTGGTGCTGGACAGGGAGGCCTGGCGTGCTGCAGTCCATGGGTTGCAAAGAGTTGGACATGACTGAGCAACTGAACTGAATGTCATTCTGATGGACAGGGATTACTGTCTTTGATAGTGGCCATTTATCCACTAGCAGAAAAATGGGTCTTACTTGCTGTATGCACGATAGTACTAACTTTGGTGTTCTGTGTGTGGTTATACAGTATTTTCTTAATGCATTGGAAATAATGCCCAATATTAATTTCTTTTGCTTTTTTTTTAATGCCATTGCTGATTTTTAAAAATTTTATTTTCCAAGGGAAACATCAGCCGTCAAGAAGCCGTCAGCATGATTCCACCGCTGTTGCTGAATGCCCACCCACACCATAAGGTACTCTGAGCCTTACATAGAAAATGCTTGTGTTCATCTCTCTCTGTTTTGTTGAGACCTTTTATCTTAATATGGTTCATCATTTAATTTTCCTTTTCACTATGGGTGAAGTGGAAAATGATACGTATTTTATTTTAGGTTCTTTTTGCAATTTTTATAGCTCAGTTTTTTTACTTACTGCTGAGATTATCTTCATTGTTTCTCGTTGACTCAATCAGATTGAAATCCCAGTGAACACATACCGAGGGCTTGTTGAATGCCGACCATGGTTCTTTGTTCTTTTTGTGAACTAATTCTTTATTGCACACACATCCCTGTGAGGGTAGATGCTATCACTCTCCCTGTTTTTCCAGATGACGAAAAGGAAGCAAAGAAAAGTGGAGGTAACTGGCTTAAAGTTAGAAGCTAGTCGTCAGGGGCCAAACTGAGTTTGGAACTCAGCGAACTCTGCCCCATAGCATTCTGTTACAATGCTTTTTGCATTTAGTATCTTTACTCAGCATCCCTGAATGTATTTTTCTGCTGGTTTCTAGTGCCATTTTTGTTCTGTTTCCTGTGGCACGAGTATCTTTCTCCTTTTGTGATTTGGGGGTGATATATATTAGGGCATCCCAGTAAATCAAATAGGACATATGCTGTAGATTTATTGTATAACTAAGTGCTTAGGTCCTGAAGTAGAAATGAAAAATAATTTTAAATTGTCCTAAGTTAGATGTAGGATGGTTGATTTATGTAAAGAAAAACATCCAGCATTTTCTTGCTTTTCACTAGATCTTAGATATGTGTGCAGCTCCTGGGTCAAAGACCACACAGTTGATTGAAATGCTGCACGCGGACATGAATGTCCCCTTCCCAGGTATGTGTGGGGCTGGGGTTTAGGGGTGAGGGTGCTGCGCTGGTGGGTGGTGGAAGAGTAAACACAGTGATAGCTTATGGTGAACCGTGTGATCTCTGAAGAAGATTGAGCTTCGGCACCAGGGCCCAGGCTTGATCACTCAAGAGCCTTTGTGTAGCCGAGTTTATTAAAGTATGAAACAGACAGGGAAAGCTTCTGACACAGCCATCAGAAGGGTGGCGGAGAGTGCCCCTCTTGCTAGTGTTAGCAAGGGAGTTATATCCTTTTTCAGTTGGTTATTAAAATAAATCAAAAGAGTGTCTTAAGGTTGTAAAAATCTTCCTAGACCCACTCCCATGATGTACACTCTAAGATATCAGGATTAGGCAGAAGGTGTTCAGGAAGGAGAAACCGTCCTCAAGCAGGATTGTTCTTCTGTGACCCTACTACAGAGCTTAAACCGAGTTGTTTGCTGTGTAATCATCAGTTCCGGGCTTAAAGAAGAAAACAGCAACTTAGTTTTATATGACTAAGACTAAGGAATGCAGAGAAAAAAAAAGATGTTTGTCCTTCCCTCCTCCTCGAGAATTCACGACCCCTTTTCCTGCTCAGGTACCAGGGACTTCTTCTCAGCCTGCCTAGGAATTGACTGTCTGGACAGGGGCCGTCAGGCGCCTGGGTTTCCGTCTCTGAAGGTAGAGCCGGGCGCTGTGCCCGGCCGCCACACGTGGCCTGTGTGCCCCCGGAGGGGCCTTCAGTTTAGCATCACGCGTGGCTTCTGGGAGAGCATGGGGTGGTTCTTTCTGAAGCCACAGTACGGAGATTTTTGTTTTGTTTTTAATCTGCCTGCTGGAACTCTCTGGCTGCCTCGCGTCCTGGTTGCGTCCTGCGGGATCTCTTGTCGCGGTACGCCTACCCTTGCCGTGGCGCTCGGGCCCAGGAGTTGACCCCCAGTGTGTGGGATCTCAGGTCTCCCACCAGGCCTCGGACCCACGTTCCCTGCATTGCAAGGCAGGGTCTTAACCACCAGACCCCAGCGGGGGCCCCAGTAGGTTGATTTCAGTTTGAATTTTCGGGAGTCCCCGTCTCACGTTGGGGTTTTGGTTCTCTTCTGACCGTTACTACCTGTGTGAGAGGCAGGAGGATGTAGTTTAGAGCCTCTGTCATACTCCCCAGGTTTAAATCCCACCAGCGTCTGGTAGGTGAGTTGTGTGACATTTCCAGACTCCACATAGGAAATGAGGCTTCATTCTTGAACTTGGAGAACATTAGGTCGATGGCAAAGATCAGAGCCTCCCCGGGCGCAAGTGGATCCTCAGGAGCCTCAGTCCCTGTCCCCTGGGAACTGACTCTCAGGGTCGACAGTGGAGCCCTAGGACTTCTGCCCTATTTTAAACGCTTGTCGAGAGATTCTCTTAGTTACCACGTCTTTCTCCCTTCACCCTCTGTCTTTTTGTTAATAGTCAGTGGTAGAAAAGATAGTTTGGGCAGCCTTCCAAAGTGAGGAACTGTTGGAGAGATGAATTTTGAAGTTTTGACATTTTAAGAAACTTTAAATCCCTGCCAAGCCGCTTGCTTCCTTCTCCTGGGCCGCGACCCCAGTTCCCGCAAGTCTGAGGCTGGGTTGCCGGTCTCCCCTGCCAGCCTGGGGGTGAGCACTGCCCCATGTCTGCTCATTTGACCCGATGCCATGCCTTTGCATTCCCAGAGGGCTTTGTCATCGCCAACGACGTGGACAACAAGCGCTGCTACCTGCTGGTGCACCAGGCCAAGCGGCTGGGCAGCCCCTGCATCATGGTGGTCAACCACGACGCGTCCTGCATCCCACGCCTGCAGATGGACGTCAACGGCAGGAAGGAGGTCCTCTTCTACGACCGCATCCTCTGTGACGTCCCTTGCAGGTACTGTCAGGAGGCCAGGAAGCCCAGAGTCCCTGCGAAAAATCAAGTCAGAGAGAGTCTAAAGTGAAGCTGTACATGGGCACGTGTGTAGTAAATCTGGTCACAGCTGGTTTGAAGAGAGAGGCAGCGTGAGCCTAAATCAGAAAACAGAAACTCAATGTTAGTGATAAACAAGGAGATCAGAGAGGGGCGGTTTTAATGGTTGGAAGGGAATGTGAAGATGATAGCGGAGAGCAGTGACGTCACATAGAGCCTTGTTGCGGGCATTGTGCCGGGAGTGCGGGGTGAGTGTAGATACTGTCACAGCGCGATAATCGCTGTTAACACCGGGTGAGTCCTGTGTAGGACATCCAGGGCTTCCATGAAGGTTGGGGAACTCATGCATTTGTACACATACCTTTCTTCGAATTTTATTACGTTAGATTTTTATAGAGTTTACTAATAAAGTAATTGCAAGGCATAGCTGAATTACTGAGTTTTTACAAAAAGGAAAGAGTAAAACTAAAGTGGCTGAGTTCCTGGAGGCAGTGACGTCAAACGTGCTGATGTCAAACATGTCTCTCTGAGCACGTGACTTAGCCAGACTAGTACAAAACCCGCCATCATACTTTGTTAGCTCTAAACGCAGCATTTAAGTGGGCTGCATTGTTACCAAGTCCTGTCTTGTTTAAACAAACGGTAGATTTACTGCTAGTGGAAGAGTTCAGTGGCGGTATGACTGTGTGTCAAACACCTGGAAGAATTCTTCAGAAAAGTTGAAATAGGTCATGAGCTGCATTTGTTTTTTTTATCTCAGATTGCAAGTTTTTAGTTTTCTTTTGGATTAGATGTTTTCCCACCCCTGTGGGTTTTTTTATCCTCTTTTTTAAAATGGGAGGATAATTGCTTTACGATGTAGCGCTGGCCTCTGCCATGCATTCGCGTGACTCAGCCGCAGGTGTACCTCCGTCCCCTCCCTCCGTCTCCCACCCCACCCCTCTCGGTGGTCACAGAGCACTGGGTTGAGCTCCCTGTGTTCTTGTGATCAGAGATAACCACGCTGCGACCATGATGTGACCTCGTGGGCTCTGAGTTGTGAGTTGAGGAAATCAGAATTTTAGTTCCCACGGGACAAGCAGGGGATGTCATTTGAAAGCCATTATATCTTATAGGACATTTCCAGCCTTGGAGCCTTCATATGAAGGACATGTGACCAGACCCACAGTGAAAGTTACATTTTACAGGGAAGGCCATCAGACACAGGAATTCCTCCAAAAAGTCTGGGATTCAAAATTAGACCCAGACAGAAAGACTAATTGCTCAACTGTATTACAAAATTTACATGGAAATGATTTCTGTTAAATAAAAGTAGAAATTAAAAAAAAGTTTAACTGATAGAGAAAACTCGTGGTAAAGAAATTAAAATGGCTTACTGAATTTGCTGAGGAAGTCCTTTATGAGTTTATCATTTTTCATGTAATTCTGATTAAAATGCTACTGTTGAGCAGCAAGTTTCTAAGTAGCAGGATCAGATTGTTATCTGCGTTCAGAGTTCTGTCCTAGGTCTGGAGATGGTGTTTTGCTGGTATTTCTCTTAAATGGAAGCAAATACTGTCTCTTTGTTGAGTGAGGTTTCCTACTCAGATCTTTTATTTCCTCATTGAATTGAAATTGAAATATAATTAGAAAGTTTAATGCATTAGAGTGTCCTACAAACAGAAATAGGATGGGGCTTGTGAGAATTTAGATTGTTTTCTAAGTGGTACTCATAATACCTTTAGCTTGGATTGTTAAGCTCCAGTCATCCTACTGGTACAGAGGTTTCAGTTCTTAAACTCATTTCTTTGCAGTGGAGATGGCACAATGAGAAAAAACATTGACGTCTGGAAGAAGTGGAGCACCTTGAACAGCCTGCAGCTGCATGGGTAAGTCAGCTGTACCTGGTGGCCCCGGGTGACTAGGAGGTGAGTGAGGGTTTATGGTCGAATCCCTGAATGTGCAGAGCTTCAGCTGGCTGACTGCAAGCCTCAGAGCGGTAACCGCCACCTTCCTGAGTCTGCCTATTCGTCAGGAGTTGTTTCAAGAGTAGGACACTGAAGTTGTATACGTTTTCAGGTTTCAATACCTGAAACATATTGAAATGTATTGAACGCCTTTTATAAAAATTTCCTGTGATATTTCTAACATGTTGTCTGTGAAAAGACCGTTTCTTACTAATATTTCTCGTCTCTGTTTTCAGTTCTTTATGTTGAGTTATTTTACCGTTTAACATCTGATCTCAGAAATATTTATGGCTATCTTTAAAAACATTTTTGAAAAGTTCTTAAAACTGAGAAGAAAAAGGAAATCTTATAACTCAGATATATTTTTGTAATTCCTCGTGTATTGTAGTATTTTCCTGTGCATAGAGATTTTTTAAAATTGTACTGTCTACAGAGCTTTGGTTTCTTTATTTCATTTAGCATCAGAATTGCAGATGCAGAACTGCGGTGATCTAGAGTATGCGTGCGTGTGTGCTCAGTCACTCAGTCGTGTCCAGCTCTTTGCGACCCCATGGGCTATAGGCCACCAGGCTCCTCTGTCCATGGGATTTTTCCAGGCAAGAATACTGGAGTGGGTTGCCATTTCCTTCTCCAGGAATCTTCCCCCACCCAGGGATCACACCTGAGTCTCCTTCATTGACAGGTGGATCTGTACCACTGAACCACCACCTGGGAAGCCCTGATCTAGAGTATCCTAATGAATATTTTTGTAATCCTGATATTAATCTATATTATCTAAATTTATTGCTTAACTATCTGATAATTGGGGGGGGAAACAAAAATCAACGGGAAACAAAAAAAAAGAAAAGTTAAAAAAAAAGTATCTGTAAACAATGTTGATACTAATCTACATTATCCAAATTTATTACTTTTCTGATAATTGAGGAAAAAACCAAAATCCACTGGTGCAGAAATAAATAATGAAAGTAAAGGAAAGTATCTGTAAGCGCTGTTGTTTTTGCAGCCAGTAAGCCGACTGTGCTCTCCTCGCCATGGGGCCCAGCGTGCAGCGCTGCGGGCGGCAGCCTCCTTGGCAGCGTGTGCCGCCTGTGGCCTGCACAGGTTGCGCTAAGGGGCCTTGGAGACACCTCTTCCTGGAGGGCACCCATGACTGGCCTGCTGTCCCCAGTCTGTCCCTGGGTCGGGACGATCCCCTGGAGAAGGCAGTGGCAGCCCACTCCAGTACCCTGCCTGGAGAATCCCATGGACAGAGGAGCCTGGTAGGCCCTGGTCCATGGGGTCGCAGAGAGGCAGACATGACTGAGAAACTTCACTTTCACTTTCATAAGCAATGTTGTTACTGTTCTGTTAACCTTTCCCAGCATGTGAACAAGCAAAGCATAAAGCTAACAACTGAATTCAACATATTAGGAAAATTTCACTATTAAAAAGACCATATAGATACATGATTTTTCTATTAGCAGTTGGCATATTTTAAATTCCTGTTTCATGTGAAGCATTGAATTGATATAGTTAAGTAATAAATTTAGATGATATAGGTTAGTATCAATACTGTTCACAGATACTTTGTTTTCAGTCATCAGAATAGTTAAGTAATAGATTTAAATAATATAGATTAGTATCAGAATTACAAAGGTCATCTAAAATAATCATAGTCAACACTTAGAGTATACCATCTGCATACACACCGAATATAGGTTAAGTGTATTAATTGCATCACATTGGACTTCCCTGGTGGCCCAGTGATTAAGAATCTGCCTGCCCATGCAGGGGACGTGGGTTTGATCCCTGGTCTGGGAAGATTCCACGTGCCTTGGGGCAGCTGAGCCTGTGTGCCACAGCTACTGGAGGCCTCACACGTAGAGCCTGTGCTCTGTAACGGAGACCCAGCGCAGCCAAAAATAAAATGAAAATAAAGGAGTGAATGCTTAGAATTCACTTTTAAATGAGGCATGTCATATATACTTAGAAGATGTGATTTATTTTCACAGAGGAACATAAAATGGAGTTATGTTGAAAAAAAAATTTTTTTAGTGGAGTTACATCAAAAATCCTGATATTCTAAAAGGTATTTCTCCTGTGAAGAGCCCTATGAAGAAAAGGAAAGTCTTTTAAAAGATTGGAGACACTATTTTTGTGAATGGCACATTCTGGTTTTATGGGTATCGGTTGCTTTCCCCCATGGGAGATGAAGGATTTCTACAGGTACTTCCTGGTAGCTTCTGTCTCCTCAACTTCCCAGTTTTATTAATTTCATTGTCATTTTGAAAAGGGCAAGTTTTGTAATAATTCAGTTAGTTTCTCAAATTCTCTCCATGATTTTACCTCGGATATTGGGATGCCTTAAAAATAACGAAATTGTGCCATTTGCAGCAACATGGATGGACTTGGCGATGATCATACTAGGTGTGGTCAGTCAGGCAGGTAACATGCCCCGTGATGCCACTCACATGTGGGATCTAAACAATACAGCGAACTCGTGACGTCACACACAGGCACAAATCAGGCTCGAAGATACAGGAGCAAACTTGCAGTTACCAGTGGCAAGGGGAGGAGGGACAGTGCAGGGCTTGGGGATTCTTGTTTTTAATCAGCAGGGAGCACCTTAAATAGGTTTACCCTAACTTCGTTTAGAACCTCAAAAGGTGTATATATGAGTGCTGTTCACTTTACAAAGAGCGTTTTGTGCGTCTGTCATCAGCTGTACGTACTAAACACCTGCTCTAGTAGGTGCCTGTGATGTGTGTGGCACATGGTGGTGCTTGGTCTCAAGGTGACCTAATGTCCGGCCCTCAGTTTACAGCTGCGGATTGCAACGCGGGGAGCCGAGCAGCTGGTGGAGGGGGGCAGGATGGTGTACTCTACGTGCTCACTGAACCCCATCGAGGATGAAGCCGTCATAGCGTCTCTACTGGAAAAGAGTGAAGGTAAGTGCGTGCCGAATCTCTTAATAAGAAAATGTGTTTCAGAACCTTTATTGCTGTAGTGTGTTTTCCTTGGACTTTTTCTCATTTTGTTCATGGACATTAGCTTGTCTGATGAGTCCATGGACCCTACAGTGAGGTGTGTGCATGCTTGCCAAGTTCTTCAGTCGTGTCTGACTCTTCTCAGCCCCATGGACTGCAGCCCCCCAGGCTCCTCTGTCCTGGGATTCTCCAGGCACGAATACCGGTGTGGGTTGCAGTGCCCTCCTCCAAGGGATCTTCCCAAACGAGCCCACCTCTCTTAGGTCTCCTGCATTGACAGGCAGGTTCTTTGCCACTAGCGCCACTTGGGAATCCCCCAAATGAGGTAGCCCTGATTAAAGAAAGACATGCTTCTATGACGAATTTGTCATTTTTCATGAGAAGTGAGTTTGCCTGTTTTCTTTCTATAAGTTTGAAAGGTGGTATCAGATCCTTTACCACACCGTTGCATTTTTTAAAAGTTTTAATTGTAAAACACACGTAATTTGAAATAATGCAGCTCATTTAAAACGTGCAGTTCACTAGTGTTCACTCACTAGTGCATTCACTCTGTTATGTAGCCAGTCTCCTGAGCTCTTGATCTTGCAAATGAACTTCTAGCCCATCGAGCAGCTCCCCCATGTCGTGTTCCCCGCCCCCGCCTTCCCTGCTATATTTTCTGTCTCTGTGTTTGACCACTCTAGGTATCTCCTGAGTGGAATCATGCAGCACTTCTGTGTGTGTGACTGACTGGCTTATTTAGGATCATGTCCCCAAGGTTTATTCATGTTATATCATATACTCTCAGAATTTCCTTTGTTTTTAAGGCTGAAAATATTCATTGTATGTTTAGACTCTGCTTTGTTCATCCATTGATCTGTCAGTGGACGCTTGGGTTGCTTCGGCATTTTAGTTGCTGTGAATAATGCTGCCTTGAACATGGCTATACCAACGACTTGGAAAATCCTGCTCTCAGTTCTTTTGGGTGTATACACAAGTGAAATTGCTGCAGCCTGTGGTAATTCTGTTTATTTGTTGAGGGCCTACCATGCTTTTTTCCATAGCAGCCGCACCATTTTACGTTTCTACCAAGAGTGTACAGGTTTTCCAGTTCCTCTGCATCTTCACCAGCACTTGCTATTTTCTGCTTTTTTGATTATTAACCATCCTGATGGGAGTGAGGTCTTACCACACTGTTTTACACTGAGGAACCAGACAGGTTGTCAGAACGTTTTATGTTTTTGCTGAAATGTTAACGTTTTCCATCAAATTCTCCTTAAACCAAATAGTGGGAAATTTAAAACTAATTACATCTCCTGAATAGAACGCTACTTGCATATGAAGCAGGTTGAAATGTAGATCCTGAAACTGGTGTGCGCCTCCTGAGACGGTGTCAGCAGCTGTCTCAGCTTCTGTTACGTCTTCTCAGAAGCTGAAAGGCCTGTGCTGTGAGGTGAGCCCTCCCGTGCTCCCCTTTGCGGTTCCTTCAGTTTGAATTTACTTTGTCGTATTTTGTTTTGCTATACTTATCTGAAGACTTGCTTTCTGTATCATGTTTTCCGTATGGAAAAGCTCCACCTTTTGGTGGTGCTCTATTTCAGAAGGCCTGTGAAGAGAAGGGTCATGGGTGATGTAATCTGATAGTAACCGAGAGTCCTGTTCGCTAAGTATTTTTTCACTGGGTAGGTGGGTTTCCTGTCTGCGTTTTGCTCTCACAGCTGTCTCTTGGCACGTGGTTGCTCCAGACCACATCGTGAGTGTCTCATTTCCATGCTCCGTCAGAGGCACGTGTGTAGACGTGACTTCATCAGACAGTGACTCGCCGGGTCTTGTGTCCGCGTTTGCTGGGGATTTTAACTGCAGGGGTGGGGTCCCTACCTGAATGTCCTCAGACCCAGCAGGGGGAAAGGTAAGCACTTAGTCTGTGCTCGCTGGACCCCCGCCAGCAGCTTCTGACCCAGATGCTAGCAGAGAGTCACCGCTGAGCCCAGGCAATGTTGGATTGAGAAAACCAGTTTCTATGTTTGTGCTGTTACCTGGTGTTCGCTTTTAGAAGCTGGAATATTCGGATGGACTGTGGAGGCCAGCGTGATGCTTTTGTCGAAGGTTTCTCACTGTTGGACCTCCACCTCGGGGATTCCTCTGCTTTGTTTTCACGAGTCCTGCATTTAGCTTAGCTTCCATGGAGCTCTGTTGGATTTTCCTTTTCGTGAGGTTGTCCATGGATCTGTCCGTGGTTTGTGTTGGGTAGTTTCATCTGAGAGGTTTCCTGTAATGGCCCCAGAGTACAGCTTCTTGTAACGGTGCTCTTGTGAACAGTGCTTCAGAAGGGGGCTGTCATCCTGATGGCCTTTTTAGAAAACTAACTTGGGCCTGAAGCTGAATGTTTAAAAATGTCCACAGTTTTTCGTGTTGCTTTTTGGATCTGGTATGTTTGTTAGAGACAAAGGCATGCAGACGCAGATCATCTCCTTGGTGTGACTGGAGACTAGGAGCCAGCCGAGCACGGGGCCCAGCCCTGCGTGTTCCAGGCCGCCTGCCACGCCATGTCTTGGGCACAGCGTGGCCTCTGCGGCTGCTTCCTGCAGCTCTCCTGTGCTGTCCTTGGCCCACATGGCGGCACTTGCTCTAAGTGTGCTGTTCCGTGGTCTTGAGTGACTCTTGATATTACGCTGTGGAGAAGAGCTCATTTACGGTCAATCCCTGACCTACCCCGGAAGTCTCTGATCTGCTCTGTCTGGGGCGGGGGTCTGCCCTCCCGGGACAGTCTCTATAAACAGGATCTTACAGTATGCGATCTTTTACGGTTATTTCCTTTCCCTGGGGTAACGAAGTTTTTGTTTTGCTGCTGACCTGCAGGTGCGTTGGAGCTCGCCGACGTGTCCTCAGAGCTGCCGGGACTGAAGTGGGTGCCTGGGCTCTCGCAGTGGAAGGTAAGTCTCCCGCCAGGACTCTGGCTCAAAAGGGCAGGTCCACTCACTAGGCCTCTTAGAGTCATGAGAATTTTAAAGCATCCATGCTAGGGTAACTTGAATAAATGGTTCGTTTGATTATGCAACTTAGAATCAGTTTCAGAATTATGTTTAATGACAAATGGTATGAGTATACAAATATTTCTGGCAATGGAAGTTTTCCTGCCTTTATTTTGCAATTACAAGTCAGCTTTGTTTATTCTCATCCCTGTAAGCATAGCTTTGCTTTTTTCCCTTTTAATTGGCTGGGGTTCCAAACTTTGTTTCCAGTATGAAGCAATTCACTCCTCAGTTTTAGCCCAGGAACATTCTGAGGCTTGTTTTATAAAAGAAAGAAAGAGGGAGAGATAAAGAGGGGAGAGAGAGAGGAGAAAGAAAGAAAAGAAAAGAAAACCCGCTTGGAAAGTGAAAATGCCGCCTGATAGAATGATTGTCCTGGTTCATGGAATAAAAGAGATGGTCTCATTTCTTTCTTTGCAAACTGTCCTCCTCTCTTTGGGGAGAATGAGAAGCACCATCTCTTGAGAGCTTCCTCACCCCCTCCTCTGACTCTTCCCTGCTCTCAGATGGGCTGGTCATTCAGAGTCCCAACACTCTGGCCCTGTAGGTGATGACGAAAGATGGGCAGTGGTTCACATCCTGGGACGATGTCCCCCACAACAGACACACCCAGATCCGGCCGACCATGTTCCCCCCGAAGGACCCCGAGAAGCTGCAAGCCATGCACCTGGAGCGGTGGTGAGTTTCCAAGATGCGTCTCGGGCATTTCTTGTATGGGCCATGCTGTGTCCTTGGCTGAACTCTTGGACATAAACTTTTCAGCAAGTAAGGTTTTCAGTGCCTCTTAGCTGCTGGCAGCAAGCGTTTGTATTGTAAACTAAAAAAGCAAACTGGTTTGAAAATGGTGATATTTTGGACATTGTGTTATTAAGTCTTGGCAGATTACACATTTACCATTCTCTCAGGGTTGTGTGAGTATTTACAGCAACAGATTATATATTTTGGATCAGTTAAAAAGGGTAAATTGTGTATGTGTGTGTGTGTTTTTTTTTCAGTCTTAGAATATTACCACATCATCAGAACACTGGAGGGTTCTTTGTGGCGGTGTTGGTGAAGAAGTCTTCAATGCCGTGGAATAAACGTCCCCCAAAGGTAAACGTCTTCCAGAACAGCAGAGCGTGCTCTGTGGTCTTTCTGTGCAGCTGAGGCAGAAGCTGACCGCAGAGCGTGTTTGAAGGGTAGAGAGCAGTGGGGTGTTCTTGTGTGTGTGGTGGTGATGGTGTCGTTAAATTTTTGAGTTTTCCAAAAAGGAGTAATTTCTTAAAACCTTAACTAAGGTCGCTCAGTTGTGTCTGACTCTTTGTGACCCCATGGACTGTACCATCCATGAAATTCTCCAGGCCAAAATACTGGAGTGGGTGGCCTTTCCCTTCTCCGGGGGATCTTCCCAACTCAGGGATGGAACCCAGGTCTCTCCCGCATTGCAGGCGAATTCTTTACCAGCTGAGCCACCTTATAAGGGAAGTGGAAAAGGCGGAGTTTGGGAATTGCATGGGGCTATGGTCCTTAGGGTAGAGACGAACTGCAGAGTCGGACACGACGCAACTTAACACACACATTCTTTCTGCATTTTCAACCCACTTCTTTAATAAGACTTGAAAAGGTGTGAAGACCACTCTGTGACTCAGTCAGAACCCCTCTGGTGGCATCTGTGCTCTGCGTTCCGGTGGGTGGTTTTCAGCTGGGACAACTCTGCCAGTTGCAGGCCAGCAGCCTTCCCCTTGGCCGTGGAGGGCAATGCCAGGCTGTCCAGGCCTGTCTCAGGTGGATGTGGACAAGGCTGACCCGTCATGACAAACATCAGCCGACCCTGGGGTTGTGTAAGGGAGGCCGTGAGGCAGAGCGGTGGGGAGATAGCGGCTGCTGCTATTTTTGTTGTTGTTTAATAATTTTATTTATTTATTTTTGGCTGTGCTGAGCATCATCTTCTCTGCGAGGGCTTTTCTCTAGTCACGGTGCGGGGGCTTGTTGTTGCTGTGGGTTCTCTTGTCGAGGAGCACAGGCTCCAGGAAGTGCATGTGGGCTCATGAGCTCTGGCTCCCGGGCTCCGGAGCACAGGCTCAGTAATCGTAGCCTGCGGGCTTAGTTGCTCAGAGACCTGTGGGGTCTCCCTGAAGCAGGGATCAGGCCCGTGTCCCCGGCACCGACAGATGGATTCTCTACCCCCCAAGCCACCAGGGAAGCCGAAGCCAGCCTCTGAGTCTTGACTCAGGGTTGGGGTGTGAAGCGCAGTCCTCCCCTTTGTCAGTGTGCGGTGGGACTTGACAGCTTGTCCATCAGCCTGCCTCCCGTTGCCATGGACCAGGGCCTGGAGTCACTGTCTGCGGGGCTCTAATTCCTTCTGGTCCATGCAGGAAAATGAGGACCGATGGTGCTTACAGCCTTTGGAGAAGCCGAAGCCAACCATTCTCTAGGGTACGGCTCATCCAGGCCGATGCCTGCGGGCATAGCCTCCTGGGGAGGCGACGCAGCGCTTCGAGCAGTCGTCCTGGGGCTCGTGAGGCTGAAGAGGTTCCCCTGGAAACGGGGCTCCTGCCTCGCGCAGCCCCTCGCCCCCATCAGGAAAGGAGGCATGGAGCTCAAAGCTGTACTCACAACACGTGAACGCCGACCTCATCTGCAATGGAAATTGTCTTGCAGCCATTGCCATACATTACATGTGATTTTCATGCAGTCACAATGAAGTAGTTTTTAAATTTCAGAATGAAAGCATACAAACTCTGAATTTTGCAGTATGAGATCCATCTTATTTTGCACTGGTCACGTTTGATGGTCAGAGCACACGTGAGCCCACCTAGCGTGGCGCTGCTGGGGCCACGTGGTGAGACTTGGGGCTTCGGTCTTCAGGGCACTGTTGTCCCGTTGAAGCGATGCAGAGTGTGAACACTGCTGGAGCTGGGGCCGGGGAGAGGCGTGCGGACAGAGTGCTGTTGCTGTCATTGTGAGGGGGCGGGACCAGATCTCAGCATTGCGCAGGACAGAAGGAGCTTCCTGGGCCAAGGGGCACAGGAGCAGGGCTCTGAAACAGGCGGTTTCCCGAAGCACAGATGTGAGGGGCGGGAGTAGAAAGGACACACAGCCTTGCTAACCTTCGCAGAGGATTTGGAGGTTTGTTCTTTGTTTGCCTTTTTCTTTTACAATTAAACCACGTTTTCTGGGAGGCAGTGTTGCACAGCGTTACAGAACCTTACCAGCCTGTCCACTTAATAGTTTTGTGAACTTGACGGACGTGTTGAACTTTCCCGTGTACATAACCTAATTTGTAAACTCACTTCACAAGGGTTGGGAAATACTACTTTTACCGGTCTGGTGACTTGTTAGCAAGGACGTGTGGCTGTAAAGAACTTCACTAAGTGGAGGTGTAATGGACACAGACCAGCCTGTTGGCTCAGGGGTGCGCCATGGCGATTCTGTGTATAAATGCCTGGTTGTGGTGTGTCTTTTTCCCAAGGTGAGAACTTTTAAGGTCTTTTATAGCAGGTTTGAAATACACAAGCAGTGTTGTTACCTGTAGTCCCTGTGATGTGTGTCACGTGATAGTTTATTGTCTAAGATCTTATATAAGGTATACATAAAAAGTTAACGGCAGTAAGACACTTTGCTCATTCTTAAAGCCAAATTTATCTACAGTTGTCCCAGATCAGAAGTCAGCTAGTTTTTCGACAAGTAGTCCCTCTGTCACTTCATCTTTCTTCAGTTGGTTCCCGGGCCCTGGAGCATTTCCACTCTCCTATCTTCGTGTCCTTGTCTTTCTTCGAGGCCCCATGTAGCGTGTCTGGAAGTGTGTGACCCACCACACAGAGCAGATGCCTGGCAGAATTTCTGGGTAAAGACAGGCTGGTGCTGCTAGCCTCTGCTAAGAAACAGGAAGTTAAAACTAGAATCTGTGCTCGTGAATTCTGCTTATAATAGCAGATAGATTTAAAATGCTTACTTTTTTAAAGAATCCTGTTGTCTGTCTTTTGCATGTGAGCGGCTGTATTCATTTGGGCAGGTTTTGTGTCCCTGGAATCATCCCTTCCTGTGTCAGGACAGAGGCGGTTGCTGTCTGGGTGTTAATGAGCGTGTTTCTGTCCAGCTGCAGGGTGAGCCGGCGGTGCCGCAGGCCTCCGTCCCCCTGAACCCCGTGGAGCCTCCGGCGGGCAGCAGCTCTGACCCTTCAGAGCTGGAGAGCAAGCTGGCGCCTGGGATCAGCGACACAGAAGCAATGGAGACANGCGGTGCCGCAGGCCTCCGTCCCCCTGAACCCCGTGGAGCCTCCGGCGGGCAGCAGCTCTGACCCTTCAGAGCTGGAGAGCAAGCTGGCGCCTGGGATCAGCGACACAGAAGCAATGGAGACAGCAGAGAACGTGGAGAACAGTGGGAGTAAGAAGGATGGCGTGTGCGGGTGAGGACCACTGTGTCTCGGCCCTCACGCTCCAGCATCTGCCCAGCCCTCGGAGGTTCAGCAGGCCCCAGCCCGTCCAGGTGGTGGCTCCGCAGGGCCAAGCAGGTCCTGGCTGTGTGGGCCCTGGGGCTGATGACCCTGCAGGATGGATGCCTTGGACCATCCTCCACAAGGAAGAGACGTGTGTCCCTGCATAGCCAGGCTGCCCAGGGCGGGGCGGGGCTGCGGGGAGGAGGAGTGGGCTGGTAGGACTACTGCGACCCCTTGCTGACGGATCCCCTCATCCCCTCCTCTCCTCAGCCCTCCTCCATCTAAGAAAATGAAGCTGTTTGGATTTAAGGAAGATCCGTTTGTGTTTATTCCCGAAGACGACCCGCTGTTTCCACCTATCCAGTAAGGATTCATTCGGCCTGTTAAATTCCTCATTTATGTTTACCATTGGGTTAAATGCACACGTGGTCCTGTGTAACTGTAATTGTTCGTTTAGCTCCTTTTTAACTGCCTGTTAGAGCTGGGTGAAGCTTTACAGGGTCTTTCCCAAACCCTTCAGTTTAAGGTGAGCCGTAATCAGAGCATGTCGGAGCCCGGAAGGCAGAGACAATGGAGATGGAGACTGGACTTCGGGCCCGGGTGGGAAGCCCTTGGTGGGGGTCCATGGCTGGGATACCGCCCCACCTTGCTGCTGGTTAGGGAGGGTGGGTCTGGTGGGGTTTCCAGCTCGATCACAGGGGAAATGTGTTTGGGATACCAGTAGGGTTGCCCTCTTCCTTGTCGGTTATGTTTAGTGTCTGTGAACCAGAGTGCTCACATATGCTGTCCTGTAGCTGACTGGTGTTTTGCCTGTGTTTGTGAAAATCCCTTCTAAAACGCCTGTGAAGAGGGGGTTGTTCTCAGGTGTGTTGCTGGAATTCAGGGGAGATGTGCCTGTGAACACAGGTCCTGGATCCAGGAGGTGCAGGCCAAGCAGAGGACGTTAGGATTAGATGGTGGGTGTCCAGGGCGGAGCCCCTGTCCCTGAACCATGCGAGTGTGAGAACTTAGACCATGGAGGGGGGCGGGACCACAAGGCAGGCGTCACGTTTGAGCTGAACCCTCGTAACCAGTTGTGTCCCCTTCACAGGAAGTTTTATGCTTTGGATCCCTCGTTCCCAAAGACAAATCTGTTAACTCGCACCACAGAAGGGAAGAAGAGGCAGCTCTACATGGTGTCCAAGGAGCTGAGGAACGTGCTGCTGAACAACAGCGAGAGGATGAAGGTGGGGTCCTGGCCCCGGAGGGCTGTCCTTTCTCACTGTTCGCATTCCATCGGAGGGGCTGGGGCCCAGCCGCCCGCCTGGGGGTGTCAGAGCTGCCAGTGGGCACAGGCCGCCCCGCCACGTCCTTCCCGCCCTCTGTGTCGTGGGGCGCGGGGGCCTGCCTGCTGCTCTGTGGGCGCTTGGTTTTGTTTGTCCTTAACGTTAGCCTTCAGGTTTTTCCACTTTAGGGCCCGCGTTTTGCTTGCTTTTCTGTGTTCCCAGCTCATTTCCCTCTCGCCTGTTTGTTTCACATGGCCTACCTCCATGTGGTCTGGAGGTCCCGGGGGTCACGTGTTCTCAGGACAGGACTTGGACACTGTCCTCTCCCGTGTGCCCACCGTGGTTTCCAGGGTGATGGCAGCCTTGCTCCTCATGGCCCATGACGGCGTGCTGGTATCTCTTGTGTTCCCAGAGTTTCCTGGTTTTATTGTCTATTGTGCTAATTATTGGGCTTCCCTGGTGGCTCAGTGGTAAAGAACCCACCTGCCAATGCAGGAGACATGGTTCGATCCCTGGATCAGAAAGATGCCCTGGTGAAGGAGGGAATGGCAACCCACTCCAGAATTCTTGACTGGGAAATCCATGGACAGAGGAGCCTGATGGGCTACAGTCCATGGGGTCACAAAGAGTCAGACACGACTTAGCAGCTGAGCGCACACACGCATGTGCTGAGTGTTAGTATAAGCCACGTAAAGCAAGACCACTTGAGGGTTTCAGTCAGGCTGAGAGAGTGTTTCAGTCCAAGGAGCGTCTCAGCCACTTCTTTTTCCTTCTTTGAGCAGCTGCTGACAGCTTTGTCTCCTTGTGGTGCTGACGGAAGGGAGTATTTTCATTGATTTTCTGGACTTTAGCTTTCGTGTGTTTGTTTCATCTGGTATTTTCCATAACAGGTCATTAACACCGGGATTAAAGTCTGGTGTCGAAATAACAGCGGTGAAGAGTTCGACTGTGCTTTCCGGTTGGCACAGGAGGTGAGGGCGCAGACGGGTGTTTCTGAGCTGGCCTGGTGGGCGGGGGAGGACCCCTTCGAGCAGGGATGCCCGCCTCCAGCGGGAGCGCTCATGGTCTCTGAGCTCTCCCGGGCTGGGGGTATGACCGCCTGTGTAACCCCGGTGTCCCCCCACCCCCGGGTAGGGGCCGTGGTGAGGGCCAGACTCTGGGCACCGCCTCACACTGGTCGTCATGGTGACCTCTCTCTGTATCCCCACAGGGAATATACACGTTGTATCCGTTTATTAACTCAAGAATTATCACCGTATCGCTAGAAGACGTCCAAGTTCTGTTAACGCAGGAAAACCCATTCTTTAGGAAGCTCAGCAGCGAGGCTTACAGCCAGGTCAAGGACATGGGTAAGCGGCCTGACGCGGAGACGCNTACAGCCAGGTCAAGGACATGGGTAAGCGGCCTGACGCGGAGACGCCTCTCGTCCTCGCTGGGGGCGGCTCGGTGCTCCCCCTGCCGGGTTCTCGCCTTGTGTGCCGCGCGTGAGCTTTTGTCCTCAGGGTCTGCGTCCGCCTGCGGAGGGATCTGAGGGACGGAAGCGGTGGAGGCGTGCCCGGGTCCGCTCCCCTCTCCGGCCCGCCCCCCGGCGCGCCTGTGCGGGTGTGGGCTCGGCCGGCCGCCGGGGCGGGGGTCTGTCCGCGGAGGGCAGTGCCCGCGCTCAGAGGCCCAGGAGGGTGGCCAGCGCAGACGTGCTCCGTTTGGCCTCTTGGCCAGCCCCCCTCCTTGCTCGAGGCTCCTGCCGCTCCACGGACGGGCTCAGCCGGGCTTTCCTGTCTCTTAACCTCCCACCCCACATCCCTCTAGTGAGGTTTCCACCTCAGAATGAAAATAGGGCCTCCGGGGGTTCTAATTGTGTTTGCTTTTCGTTCTTGGTTCCTTCTTTATCACTGTACCCACCTTTCTGGCTCGGTTTGAGGGAAACGGTACAGATGAGGTACTAAAGTCAGGCAGGCACGAGGCTGAGGCCTGGAGCCGCGGCCTGAGGCCCAGGCGCCGCCGGCCGGGCCTGTCTCCTCACCGTCTCCTCACCGTCTCCTCAGGCAGAACCACATTCACATGGGGGGTTACCGTCAAGGGTAAGGGAACTGCTTGGACTCGGTTTTGCTTTGTCTTTTTCTTTTAATCATGCCTTTAGATTGCAGTATGATTTTGACAATTTTTATATGTTTCACGCAGTTTCTGGGAGTTGGACCAATTATCTCTTTAATCTTGTGTTTTGAGAATTAAGCAGTGGTTAATCCCCACCCCCTTGCGCCCGATAGCGCCTTGCGGAGCAGCTGAATCGCTGAGCGCTCTGACTCACCCGCCTCCACGGCCCCACTTGGTGCCTGGCGTGGGGTGGCCTGGTGGGCTTAGAAGGAAAGGCCTCTGGCCTCCTCCGAGACCCCTGAGACCTGGAGTCTAGGTTCTCCTCCGGGCCGGTAAACGAGGGCAGCAGAGGCGTCCAGGCCGGGAGGGCTCAGCCAGCGGTGTCTGTTTCTCTTCCAGCCAAGGGCAGCGTCGTCCTGAAGTACGAGCCGGACCCCACGTAAGTGAGACGCTCCAGCCTCCGGGCCTCCGCGTTCTCGGGGGGCGGGGGGTCGTGCCTTTCAGGATGCTCCCCTCAGTACTGCGGAGCTCTCAGAACTGCAGTGTCCCCGGCTGTCACCGTGAAGATCCTCTTTATGAAACATGTATGTATGTGTATTCAGAGGATAAAGCGCAGGGTCAGTGTGAAGACAGGGCCGTTAAGAGAGGCTGCGTTCTCGCGCGCCTGCCGGCCGTGTCTGGTGACCTTGCCCTGCCCGTGGGGGCGGCCCTGACAGCTGCCGTGGCCCCCGGGGACCCCCACTCGGTGACGCCTCTCACAGGAGGGGCTGGTTCTGGGTGGGCCGCAGCCCCGGGGCCCTCAGGGGAGGGCGGGGTGTGTCAGCATCTGCACCCCAGGTGGTCCCCACTCAACTGCTGCCTCTGACAAAATGCCGCCTCCCGAGGAGGAGAGAGAACAGGGCCTGGGCTGGAGGGCGGTTTGGGCACCTTCTCCCGAGGTGGGCCTTGGCCTGAGTCTAGGTGGTAGGAAGGAAGCTGCGAGCTCAGACCCTCAGGCGGGGTCTGCACCGCCAGGGGTTGGGGGGGATAGTCAGTGTTAAGATACTGGTACTTAGGCGGCTCACAGAGAGTTTAAAACAGGCAGTTTTAAGATGTGGGTTCAGTGTTCCACATACGCTGGTTTCTACCAGTTGAAGTACACAGGTGACAAAAGCTTCAGGCATTAGTTTTTTTTCTAAGGAAGAAAATGGGAGTATGGGAATTGTCTTAGGTTTTTCTCATTGTTTTTTAATCATCTAATTGTCCTAGAAAAATGGGAAGGTCCGATAGATTTCTCTCTTTCTCAGTGGTTTTTCTTGTTGGTTCAGGCCTTTCCCATCTTTTTTTTTTTTTTTTTTAAATTACTTAAACCCTTGTTTGGTCCTTGCTCAGCCTGCATCACTGATGCCTTGTGCCAGTGGGCCTGGGACACGTGTTTACTTAAGGAGGTCTTTAGGAGCTCAGAAACTAGACCAGAGTCTCCTGTGAAAGGAGCTAAACAACAGTGCGTGTGGCCCACAGTGACACTCACGGCGCTGGGTAAGGGGCATGCGAGTGGCACTGACCGTCAGCGCCCTCCTCATTAGGACGGGGCCACGTGGGGCTGTGTTGTCAGGGGTGGGGACCCCGACCCTGTCCCTGCCGCCCCGGCTCCAGGCCGTGTCACCCGGCCTCTGGGGGCCTCTGTTTGCTTGCGTGTCCAGATGGGCCCTGAGGAGGGCGCCCTGAGGGACAGGGCCGCGTGCCTGTCGGTCAGTGGGGAGGGAGGCGTAGGATAGGCCTTCAGACTTGACAGGGTGCACGTGTCTGCAGATGCTCACGCTTAGAGTGCTGGACGTGTGCAAACCTGGGGGCTCACCCGCGTGAGTCTGTAGGGGGAGACACTGGCCTGCCTGAGGGCCTTGGCGGTATTCGAGGCGGGAGGAGGGACGCCCGTAGGACGGCAGACTGGCTTGGGGGTGGCCGTGGGTGCGGTCGTCCGCGCTGGCCACTGAGGCTGCCGCGAGCAGACGAGGACCGCTAACCCGGAGCCGCTCTGTGCGCAGGAAGCCAGACGCGCTGCAGTGCCCCATCGTGCTGTGCGGCTGGCGCGGCAAGGCCTCCGTGCGAACTTTCGTGCCCAGGAACGAGAGGCTGCACTACCTGCGCATGATGGGGCTGGAAGTGCCGGCGGGAAAGAAGCGAGAGGGTGCCGTTGGGGCGCCTGGGGCCGGCGTGGCCAGCCCCGATGAAGATGCAGCTTACAGGAGGCCTGGTCTCCGGATGATCCCAGGACTCCCTTCACATGGAGCTAACAGAAAGTATCTTTTTAGCTTGTTAGTAACTGCTCACTTACTTTGTTTCTTCAGCAAAGTTGATCCTCTGTGCCTGTTGCTGATAACAGACTTGGATCATTAAAAGTCTTACTCTGCCAGGAAATGTGACTGCCTTGGCAGGAAGCTTCAGGTCCCCTTTGTTATGCCTGTATTGGTCTTAAGGCCCAGAACTTCTTTTTAAGTGTTATTTATCGAGAGAATCTGTCACTACTTCCAGATCATTGGAAGACTGTACTGTCAGCTTTAATAATTGTATTGAGTTGCACATGAGTGTGACGTTAGTATGTGGTGGGGTTAACATCTGAGGTGTCAGATGACTTCTGTGCCTTTGTAATAAAGGGTAAAACAAACTTTATCTCACAGTAAGAGTTTATTGTGAGTTTGTGATACTAGTTATGAAGGTTTTGTGTGCTTTTATTGGAATGCTCTGCAATTAAATAATTTTTAAATGGGGTTTGGGATCCTTGGAAAGTTTAAATAAAGAATTATTAATGAAAACAGGTGTGTGTGTGACTCAAGTTGTACTCCACTTCTTGAGGTAGAAGGAACAGACTTATTTTGGGGTAAATGGAAGTATTGGGATTAAAAGCGTCTTAGCTCGCAAAGGGAATGTTACTGTGAAGATGTGAGGTCAAAGTCACTCAGTTGTGACTGCAGCCAGCCAGGCTCCCCCGTCCATGGGGTTCTCCAGGCAAGAACACTGGAGTGGGTGGCCATTCCGTTCTGCAGTGGATCTTCCCGACCCAGGGATCAAACCCATGTCTCTTGCGTTGCAGGCAGATTCTTTACCATCTGAGCCGCTGGGGAAGTCCAGCTCTTTCGTGAAATCTAAGGTTGGGCCTGAGAGCACTTGAGAGGACTTGCCTTTGGGTTCACCTTCTATCCTCTAGAGGGTGGTGTTGATGCTGCAGCTGCAGTGAGTCTGGCTTGGCTGAAAAGGGCCCCTTAGCAACCTGGGGACTGACCGCCCTGCTGGCCTGCTCCCTGGGGTACTGCGCTCACCCGGCAGGTGCTTCGTGGCCTTTTCAGTTAATCCATTAACTGAGTCCCTGCCGGGTGCCAGGTGGGGCTCTGGGTGCTGGGGGTGCCGCTTTTCAAGGCAATCAATTTTAAAAAGATTATGATACAGTGAACTTTCATGCCCCCTCATGGCTTTCACAGATAAGGACTGTTTTTCCCTTTAAAAAAATAACCTCAATAACTTGACTCCCAAAACAGTAACAATTCCTTAATGTGAGATACCTTACATGAAAATTCTATGCACTGAAAACTGTTAAGATGTGGATGAGAGAAATTGAAGACACAAATAAATGGAAAGATAATCCATGCTCATGGGTTGGAAGGATTATTGTTAAAAATGTCCATACTGCCCAAAGTGATATTACTTTCCTAGTTAAGTTTTACTGAGATTAAAGCTGCCTGCACATTTCTTCCCTTCCCTTGATAGACATTTTGCAGGGCAACACTTGAAGACCATGTACCTCTTTGTTATCAAACTTTAACTACTCTTGATAGTTTTTCCTGAACCAGTTTTTTACCATCAGTTCAGTTCAGTTGCTCAGTCATGTCTGACTCTTTGCAACCCCATGGACTGCAGCACACCAGGCCTCCCTGTCCATCACCAACTCCCATAGTTTACTCAAACTCATGTCCGTTGAGTCAGTGATGCCATCCAACCATCTCATCCCCTGTTGTCCCCTTCTCCTCCCGCTTTCAATCTTTCCCGGCATCAGGGGCTTTTCCAGTGAGTCAGTTCTTTACATCAGGTGGCCAAAGTGTTGGAGCTTCAGCATCAGTCCTTCCAATGAATATTCAGGACTGATCTCCTTTAGGATGGACTGGTTGGATCTCCTTTCAATCGAAGGGACTCTCAAGAATCTTCTCCAACACCACAGTTCAAAAGCATCAATTCTTCGGCAGTCAGCTTTCTCTGTAGTCCAGCTCACATCCATACATGACTACTGAAAAAAACCATAGCTTGGGCTAGAGCTGCAAAATGATAGTTTTCCAATTTTATCACTCGTCTACACTTACATTTTTTCTTGTCCCCTATTTGCTTCCTTATTCATTTATTTATATCATGAACTCAAGGATTCCTGTTTTATTCAGTACGGGATGTTGCTTTCATTGCCCCAGTATTGGCTGATAGGATCTGCTTCTAGTTGGTTCTGATGTCCTTCATGTATCTCTGTCATGTGGAGTTTCCCCCGGCTCCCTGGATCCTTGCAGTGGAATCTGGTCGTTAGAAACCAAGGTCTGGTATTAGGAGTGCTCACTGCTGCTGGGGTGCTGTTTCTTACAAACCCTCTCAGCGGAGAGAACTAGGCAATCAATGTGAATGTGCATGCACACACTGTGTTATGTGTTACCTGTACATTGTTTAAAACCCTGTCATACCAGTACCTCTGATTTCAGCGGACCCTGGGATCTCCTGTAGTCCCCCTTCCATGTTTATCCTCCTCTTCCATGTAGGCCCCAGAGCCCTGAATTTTCTCACTGTTGGTGTTTGTTCAACATTTGAAGGTACTGATTCCCTCTTAGGGGCTGAAAGCCTCACACGCTGGCCGTTCCAGTTCCCACTGACTATGCCAGGGCCACTGTCACCATCCTCTGACCCTCTTCCCTGAAGGTCCCTGCTGGCCAGTGCCAACATGAACGTAGGCACCAACCGCAGGGAGCTCCCAGTTTCAAAAGTTTCTCCTCCAGAGCTTCTTTAAAAAATGGGTAGGGGGTGGGAGAGAGGCTTAAGGAGGGGGTCACAGGGCAGAAACCAACGCGATTATCCTCCAAATAAAATTTTAAAAATGCAAAACTCTGGCCCTACTTATCAGAGGCTATTTCTCATAGCTGGGCTAGAATCTACACCCACTATGGTGACAGGTTGAGGACCAATGGTTTATATAACTTTAGCTCATGTAAGACTTACCCTGTAAAGACAAGTTAGAACTCACTGTTTTCTTTGCAGTAAAGAATCCCAGCATTTGTTCAGTTGAGGTACTTTACATTATGATCTATAGAGGCCTGGGTTCGAGGTTCAAACCCAGGTGTGTCCACACTGCATCATAGTTAACCATGGGCTCATTCGGTCAACAAAGCATCCTTCAGTATTTAGATCTTTTCCCAATTTGACACATAAGCAAACCAGTTCAGTTCAGTTTAGTTGCTTGATCGTGTCCAACTTGTGAGCCCATGGACTGCAGCATGCCAGGCCTCCCTGTCCATCACCAACTCCCAGAGTTTACTCAAACTCGTGTCCATTGAGTCGGTGATGCCATCCAGCCATCTCATCCTCTGTTGTCCCCTTCTTCTGCCTTCAATCTTTCCTGGCATCAGGGTCTTTTCAAGTCAGTCAGTTCTTCACACCAGGTGGCCAAAGGATTGGCAAACCAGGCCTAGGTGATTGCAGTTACTTAACAGTGCAGTGACCAGCCTCTGCCAGTGATATTTAAGTGGCTCACTCATGCTGACCCATGTCAGTCAGATGTGACCAGGAGAATCCACATGGTACTGTGAGCAGGGGAAGCGGAAGAACTGCCGACTGTAGCAGGGTGGGAGTAATGGGCTGGCCGGTCAAACGAGAGAAGGCTGCAGGGTGTGGGCACCACAGACCGAGCAGCCCGCTGGGAGACAGAGCACCACCTCAGGAAGAATTTGCCATTCCTCACCCGGGGGTCTGCTGGGGAGGGGGCGACCACAGCTCACTGAACAGCAGGAATGTAGCTGTGTCTTTGCACTCGTAGAACTTGCTGGAAGTCTGCCCCCGGTCTGTTGCACTTTGTAGGAGCCGCCCCGGGGGGGGGGAGGGGTGCAGGGCCGGCTCCAGAATCTTGGAAGCAAAACCCCTCCTTCCTGCAGTGCCTCTCTGGTGCCTTCTTCTGGCAGAACTGTCTCAAGTGCCCAGGTGAGGATGATGATTGTATGACTTTGGAGCCCTGAAATGAGGAATCAATAACTGAGTAGGCGTAGCACACGGCCTCTGTTGCCTCACGGCCTGTGGGGTCTTATTTCCTGGACCAGGGACTGAACCCATGTCCCCTGCATTGAAAGGCAGATCCTTAACCCCCGCACCACCAGGGGGTCAGTTCCCAGGATTCCAATTGTCAAAAATGCATGGGACCCACAGGAGCAGCATTGCAGGGCACCACCCCTTTCAAGAGATGGCTGCACTGGCTGCTTTTCAGTGACCATGTTTTCATGGTCAAACCGCTTTTCAAAACCGCCGGAGAAGAGGACTCTCCAGAGATACAAATGTGAGAACTGAGTGTGTGTTTTCCGGCTTCTCTTAAAATGAAGGCCAAACCTCTGAGCTGCTTGTCAAATGTACACGTGAGCACTTTTCTCAAATCACAGGGTATTAGGAGAGTTTGCCTAGTTAGAGACATGGGTTGAATCCAGGCATCTAATTTCAGTGCCCCCCGCCTGCCCCCCCACCAAACCCTAGTAAAAACTACAGTAACTGTATTTTAACAAACAAAAGCAGAGAGCAACATGGTTTCAGAAGCTGGAAAGCAAGCAGACAGGTAGTAATAAGAGAACCCCAGAGAGGGAAGCGCTAAGCCCGCAGTGAGAATAGCTGAGAAGCCATCCGCACACGGCCCTTCACTTGGCTCCCGAATGTTCGGGGCAGCCAGTCTCCCTGTGGAAGACTCTTCTCTGGAACCTGTGCAGCTCCAGAGGAAAGATCTATGGTTCCTGGCCTCGGGGTTCCCCAGAGCTGGCCCCCATAGAGTCACCATCAGAACTGGCACATCTCCCCAGCCGTGTAGCTGATAAGCCTTGGAGCCCTCAAGTAGCCCCGAGGAGGCAGCCTGGGAGTCCCAGGCCTCGGAAACCGCCTTTGGCATCGAACACAGGAATCAAAGCAAGCAGGAAAAAAAAAAAACAGGAAGAAGCACAGACTTTCCAAGGAGGACAAAGCTGCTTTAAAAGAATCCCTTTTATTAAAAAAGTTGGGGACCCCCTGGTGGGCCAGGGGGTTAAGACTTCGCCTTCCAATCAGCGCAGGGCCTGTGGATTCGATCCCTGCTTGGGGAGCAAAGATCCCACAAGCGTCGCAGCCAAGAAACAGAAAACAGAAGCAGTGTTGTAACAAAGTCAATAAAAATTAAAAAAAAAAAAAAGGGTTCGATGATGACAGTGTATGACTAAGCCTGATGAGACCCCTTAAAACCAAAAATAAAAGTTAACGAGGGTGTTTTTCACATGAACGCTTCACTGAAGGTTTCTTTCCAATTCTAATCAACATTTTGGTGAGGAGTTTCTGCTCTGAAAGAGGAGTGTTGCAAGAGAAAAGACAGCTGGCCTAAGACAGGTTTCTCTTCCAGACACAAACACGCCCATGAGAACCTAGCTCGCCTGGCTGAATGAGACCCACACATCCAGAAATAGTGGCTGCTTGGCTGTCACTGAGACAACAAGGTTTAAAAGCTTAAAAGCATCTGTTTCCTTTGAACTTTGGAATCCGTCTTTGAGAAGATGGATAAAATAAACTTCCTAAGAAGAAAATGACAATATACATAACTTCGACCCAGCAAGTCCACTTCCTGCACTTGCAAATGAGCAAAATGATGTGTCTACGTCATTTGATGCCACATTGTTTGTAACAGAAAACCAGAAAGACCGCGACATCCGTGGTCACACCGGTGAAATGAATGATACCTAACCACTGAGCAAATTCTGGGAGATGGTGAAGGACGGGCAAGGCTGGCGTGCTGCAGTTCATGGAGTGGCAAAGAGCTGGACACGGCTGAGTGACTGAACAACAACAAAAGAGGGATAGTTGATGCCATCAAAATGGCAGGAGGAAATCAAGAGTCCTCTCCTGGTGGAGGGGCGCAGGGCGGCCCCGAGTCATCCAGCCAGTTGTGACACATGTGTCACCAGGAAGCTCATCAGATACCTGTGCCCAGGGTTTGTACCAGGGCACCTCCGCTGACTCGGTCAAAATCCCAATCTTCCACAAGGAAAGCTGGTGATCAAGACAACGTCTGCATACACAGTTGAGACGCAGAAACCCTCCCGGTCAGCTCGAGCAGGGCAGGAAAAAACACTCCTGAAGTCCCAGTTCCCGGAGGCCAGCCCAGAGTTCAGGCCTTGCTGGGGTCAGCTCTTCCCTGCACACCTCCACCCTGGCAGCCACTCCCCTGGCACCGGATGCTGCCAGCAGCTGTGCGGGGTGGGGGTTGGGGGCTGGACGCGGGTCTTTCCAGAATCGAGTCTTGAAATGACTGCAGCCTCTTGGCACGCTTTGCAGCTGGAGACCCAGCCCAGATCCGGCATCCTGACCCACAGGAGCCATGAGACAGTAAATGTAAATAAATTCTGGGGTGATTTGTTACCCAGCCGTAGATAACCGATACAGTCACTTGGAGACAGCTGACTGTGTGACCTTGGGCCAGCTTCTTAACATCTCTCAGCCTCTATTTCCTCATCTGTGAAATGGACAGAGTGACAGCACCCACCTACCTGGTGAGACTGATGCTGGGACAGCGAGGGACAGCAAGTGCTTCGAGGTGGAGGCTGATTTTTTTATTTAGCTTTTTAGGACAAGGCATTCACTGCTAAGTCAGTGTTTCTTTTTGCTCTTGGATAAAACCTTCAATCAAGGCAGACAGGGGCTTTCCAGGTGACTCAGTGGTGCAAAATCTGCCTGCAGTGCAGGAAACAGTTTGTTCTCCGAATAAGGAAGCTCCCCTTAGAGAAGGAAATGGCAACCCACTCCAGTATTCTTGCCTGGAAAATCCTACAGACAGAGGAGCCTGGCGGGCTACCGTCCCTGGGGTCGCAGAAGAGTTGGACATGACTGAGTAACTCAGTACGCATGCACAGGGCAGGCAGATCGCCCGGGAGACGTGCAGGTGGTTTAAACTGTGGCTTTGCTTACAGGCTCTGTCCTCGGCCTCAGGGGTGACTAATGCTGTTGGACGTGGAGGCAAAGACTGCTGACCACCCAGCACCCATTGCCTGGCTCCAGGACATCTGCCCTCACCTCTTTTTGCAGGCTCGGGGAGGGGGTGTTTCATGTCAAGGGGAGCAGCTCAGGAACTGGTTTTGGCAGGAAATAGGGATGGCATAATGGACCCCATGTTTAAAATTTTTTATTTACTTGGCTACACAGGGTCTTAGGTGCAGCATGTGGGATCCTGTTCCCTGACCAGGGGCCGAACCTGGGTCCTCCACACTGAGGGTGCAGACGCTTAGCCACTGGACCACCAGGGAAGCCCCACTGACCCCACTCTGGTTTCAAACTGGTTTCCATTGCCAGCTCCTTCCACCCTCAGAGTCAAACTTCATTTACTATCGAAGACTGTTTGAAGGTCGTGAATGAAAGACTCCTAAAACCTGGAAAATAGCAGCCTTGCATTAAAAGTATCCGAGCACCTGTGAAATTATGCAAATTTGTGTTCTGATTAGATTATTGTAAGATTGTTGTTGGTGTCAGGAGGATGACTATACTTTTTAAAATAAAATTAAATATCTGTGGTTTGTTTCTCCAGGTGGATTTTTGTTGCAATAAATAGCATTTTCCAATAACAAAGTGTCTAAATATTTCAGTCAGTTTTAAACAGTGACAAGTGCAAACAGTATAAATGTTCAGAGCCTGCACTAATGGGA